CCCTGCCCGGCTGCCCTCCCCAGCCCCTTCCCCGCCTTGGGGGGCTCCTGCTCCAGCCAGCCCCCTGCTCCCTCACCATGCTGCCGATCCGCTGCTGAGCTCGCCTGCACCCCGCTGTGGCGTGGGGGGGTCCCGCCTCCCCCCCCTCCCAGCAGCAGCAAACCCGGTAAGTGAGATTTATGCTTCAAAGTTTGTTGCCTTGTGGCCGTTCTTTATTCCTGTAACCAGGAGCATCCGTGAGCAGGGAACAGCTGGCGCCCCTCGCCAGCGCTGCCGCAGGCCCCGTGGTAACTGCTTAAACCTTCAGAAAGGGATGCCGAAAATCGGCCCCCGCACTACATTTCCCTACATCACTTTTAGGAACCAGGAGCGTCTTTTTTTTTTTTTTAATTTTAATTTATTTATTTATTTTTGCACCCAGATGATTTTTGCCGCGGTCCTTTGTGATCTATAGATTTATTTTTTTTTAAAGGAACTTGGTTGTATATTTCAAAACTGCTTTTCTTTTAGTTTCAGAGTAGCAGCCGGGTTAGTCTGTATCCGCAAAAGGAACAGGAGTCCTTGCGGCACCTTGGAGACTAACAAATTAGTAGCCCACGAAAGCTGATGCTCAAATAAATAAATGTGTTAGTCTCTAAGGTGCCACAAGTACTCCTGTTCTTTTTTCTTTTAGTGTCTCTCACTCACTTCTTCCATTATTTATGACATGTGTAGTGCCCCAGATTTGCACACCGGTCTGTATTCCTAGTGCCCCCACTGCTGAGGGATCAAGATTCTTTCAAACAAACTTTGGAGCGATATTTGGACGCTAATGATCTGCTTTCTGGTGAGGGCAAGTTCCAAATCAGCAAAATAGAGCCATAAAGCTAAGCACGCGCTCAACCCAATTCTTAGTCAGCAAAGCATTGAAGTGTGTTTTAATCTCATGGAGGTCAGTAGGACATCAGCATGGGCTTTAAATGTTGAATGGACGGGAACACATCATCCAATGCTTTGTTGAATCATGTCTACTTTGGAGAAGGTCCCCAGTGCCTTTGGAGAGCAGATGAAGCAGCATGGAGATCCGGAGCAGGGAGGGTTCTGCATGCTTTGGGAGGACACAATATTGGTAAAACCTGCCAGGTGGATCCAAGTGTTCTACTGAAGGGGGAAGAGCGGAACGCCAGCATTCCATTCCACCGTGTGGCTAGACAGCAGAAGTTTGCCCTAAGTTATTAAGGTTCATTTTCAGTTCCTGTTCCCAATCCCCCTTTTATAGAAGGTTTAGGATGCTGTTCTTTGATATAGTGCCCTCTGAGAACAAGTAACTTCAACCAGTTTTCTCTGGCTGGATTTAAATAAGGAGAACAGCAGTATGATCGGAAAAATATATACAGTAACTTTGTACAATACCTTTACAAAAAACAATAACATATCAATGTTCATTCAACACAGCATCAAGGTGAAAGACACTTTCCACAAGACTTGCTATAGCATCTCTGAAATACACAATCCCTATGAGAGTTTCCCTAATTGTGAATTACGCTGGGCACGGACTGTCTTCTGTTCAGAAAGCTAGAAATACATCATTTTTAATTGCCATTTCTAGGTAGCTGTAAGGAATTTGGTCTTTGTGTGTACAGTCACTATTGTGTACTTGTTGAGTTACAACATGAATGGATTTGACCCTTTGTGCTTAACCAAAGAAGGCAGGTCATTTTCTTTAAGTTGCCAAGTCTTTCAGCACAAACATGCCGTACTGCAGTCTCTTCAGCCAAGTAGGAAAAGTTACAATTTGTGTAGACAACATGCCTCCTAGCCCAGGTTTGCTCTTCAGTTTCCAGGAGTCCGTGTTATCCCTATGGGACTCGTTTCAAGGGGCAAAACTGTAAATTCTTAAGCATCGTCAAAAAACGAGAACTTGTAAATTGGTTAGGGACCTGTGTCAAATGCCCTGCGGCAGCTTTTTCTATCCTTTCTGTAAGGAATCTTGAAGTACATTTTAATATACCTAAGTGCATGTCCTGAATGAGTATTGACATGATCGAATGGAACGGCTTTTAATGAATAAGCCCACAGTCTAGCAAAGAGTATGCCATACATACAGATTTCTGTTACACTTAAAGGGTGTGTCAGTATCTCTATTTGAAATTCATCCTTGAATTCTAAACTTAGGTCTTGAATGCTAATTTCAGCCTAACAGATTCATTTGGGAAAAGCCCAAGGAATCTTTCTGGATGTTTTGAAGCAACTCAGGTAGAAAATGGGGGAAGGAAAACATTATTGTGTAAAGATTTAGGGGCTGGGAATAGCAGAGCAGGGATAAAGCACCCAGCTGGGAATAGTTCAAGATCCAAGGTTAGTGCTGGTGTTTTGGGTCCCATTGTTCTGAGCACTATACAGTAAGAGGTACATAGTAAGAGAGAGCCTAATAAGAGAGAATTTACAATTTAATGCATTGTCTATACTTAAGGCCTAAATTGACATAGCTTCATGGCTCCTAACTCCGGTGGTAGATGCAGCTAGGTCAGGGGTGGGCAAACTTTTTTTGGTCAGAGGGCCACATCTGGGTATGGAAATTGTATGGCGGGCCGTGAATGCTCACAAAATTGGGGGCTGGGGTGCGGGAAGGGGTGAGGGCTCCAGCTGGGGCTGCAGGCTCTGGGCTGGGGATGAGGGGTTGGGGGTGCAAAAGAGTGCTCTGGACTGGGACTGAGGGGTTTGAGGGCAGGAGGGGGATCAGGGATGGGGCAGGGGTTTGGGAGTGCAGGCTCCGGGCGGCACTTGCCTCAAGCAACTCCCAGAAGCAGCGGCATGTCCCCCATCCAGCTCCTACACGGAGGCGCGGCCAGGCAAGTTGCCCCATCCACAGATTCCACCCTTGCAGCTCCCATTGGTCACGGTTCCTGGCCAATGGGAGCTGCGGGGGCAGCGTGCAGAGCCCCCTGGTTGCCCCTATGCGTAGGAGCCAGAGAGGGGACATGCTGCTGCTTCCAGGAGCTGTGCAGAGTGGGACAAGCCCCGGACACCGCTCCCCGGCTGGAGCGCCAGAGCAGGGCAAGCCCCGGACACCGCTTCCCGACGGGAACTCGAGGGACAGATTAAAATGTCTGGAAGGCCGGAGGAGGCCCCCGGGCAGTAGTTTGCCCACCCCTGAGCTAGGTTAACAGAAGAATGCTTCCATCAACCTAGGTAGAGATCCTACCATGATGGAAAACCCGCTTCCGTCACTGTAGCATGCATCTACACTATGAGGTTACAGAGGCATAGCTACAGTGCTGTAGCCTCCATAGCAGAGACAAGCCCTAACTAGAAAAGACAGAGAAAGGGTGGGAAGGGAAATAGGCATAGAGAGAGAAGGTGACTTGCCCAAGGTCCCACAGCAGGTGTGTGACAGGGCCATCCCCTAGTGTAGACCATGACATCTCTCATACCTCTCTGCCCAGCGTACTCAGAAGCACAGGTCTTAGCCCTCCTCAGCTAGTGGGATGATTGTTCTGACATAGGGCCTTGGTTTTTAGTGGGAACCCCAGAAAGAGAAGTGACCCTTTGCACTTGTGTATATTGAAGACTTACAAAATAAAATGGAGTCTTGACCTACTCTGGTTAGCTGGCAACAGGGACTCCATGACTCATATTGGTGCTGTCACACCCACTACAAGGCCAGTTTTCAGAAAACACTATTGGAGACTAAGATTAACCCTGGGTTGTGTGGGTTTTGGG